ACCATAAGGTCAGTAACTTTTCTTTGTAAATACATTTTCTCAGGCGAGAAAACAGCAGTGGTTTAAACAAAAGAGAACCATGTTTCCTGCAAAGAAATGTTTTTCACCTCCACCCAAATCAAGTTTTTAAGGTTTTTCAATAGAATACCACCACACAAATAGCTAATCCAGCATTCACTACCAGAATGGACACTTTTGTTAGGCAACGGTTATAGAAAGACAGCTTAAATCACTCTGATCATGGCCTCCTAAAGTAAAGTAGCTGCTGACAGGCAAAGCATGTGCTCTGTTTGCAGCTGATCAGCACTGAGCCTTTTCTATGCCTGCCCCCTTCCACCCTTCTAACTTTCCTCCCTTTGCAGTTGTTCTGAATGCTAAATTTAGAATCAGAACAGCCATATTTCAACCTGTCCACACGGCTAAAATGTAGTAGGTTGGAAACATACACCACAATATGATGACTCACCAATTATTTTCTGTAAAATTATAATTTCCCTTATTTAAAACACCCTGACTTCTCAGCATTCTTGACCTAAAAAAAATAGACAAGTATTTTTAAAATACAGTGGTAACTATAAAAACAAATGAACGTGGGACTTGATTTTGTCCACATTGGATGAGAATAAACAGTGGCACATTTAGACAGTCTCGAAAACAGCATAAGCAGGCAGTAAATGGCAACAAATAAAAGACAGCAAACTCTTTTACACATCTGTGTCTGTAAAGAGAAATATCTCACAAACACAAATTTGGCCTTGTAAGTTCTTGTAAGCTCTCCTCTGTCATTTCTTTAAAAAAATTAAATAAAAGAGCACACAAACCCCGCCACAAATTGCAGATATGACAAAGCAAAACATTAGATGTTTAACTCTCAACACAATCCAATCTTCCCCGCTGCGACATTCTGCATCTGCATGGAGGTTGAAATTCAAGATTAATACCGGTGCACATGAGAAGACCAATCATTACCATGTCCAGTCAACTTCCTCAAAAAGCCAGCTATGATTCCTAGTTTCCCAGGAGCCCAGAGACAGCCTGCCAGAGCTTCAGTGGCAGAGGGGAGGTACACAAGTTTGTACTACCATAGCCTAGTTCCGAGCACACGTGAAAAGCAACTCAAAGCAATCACCTTCCTAGTTATGCCAGATCTGCCTGGTTTTTCTACTTCAACTGATTCACAGTAAACTAAGCCCATCTATTTACAAGTCTGTGTTATAGTTTTAGCCTCAATGGCTCTGGATGACTAGACTAACATTGAGAGTAAATAAAAACATAGCACTACTGCCAAAGAACAGAGCCAGTGCATAATCAAAACAGAAAGATAATGGGTGAACAAGGGAAAAAGAACAGTAAATATCATTAATCTGATGCCAGGCTGAAAGCCATTGCAAAAAAAAAGAAACTAAACCGATACGAAGCAGTAATGCATAATAAATCAACCACTCCAATCACTAAATATGTGCATATGTTTATCTTATTGTTATCTTACTATTTTTAGCCAACCTTTTTCTTTCAGAAAATGTACAAGGAGGCCTGTCTGATATCACTAGGATAAAGTTGCAGGAAAGATTTAAATCAGAGAACCACTGCAAAAAATTCTCATTGCAGAGAGATTCAATATAGCTTTGCGATGGAAAATGCAGATGGATCAGTATAGCTTTTCTCCACACATTCATTATGTCATTTTGTTTACAGAATATGGAAAAATAAACTAGATGTAATAACTGCAATATCATAAAAAACATTGGCATGTTAGCTCTAAAACAGTTGCCATTTTACTTCACTACCTTAAAAACATTTAATAGAAGTAAAGATAAGCTTCACTTTTCGTAGTATGTTACTTAACTGTTCAGCTGACACTAGCAAAGCAAAATTGAAGCCATCAACCACTCACAGTTCTCTTTACTTTCATTGTTCTCCTGATACATTGGAAATTTATCAGATTTTCCCTTAAGTAGTTCTTGAATCTTTAGACATAATTGTTACGATAGGAATAATCCAGAGAGAGATTCATGAAACAGCTACTTTAGTCTTTGTGGTGAAAAGCACCCAAAAATAAAACTATCTGTGAGATGAAGAATTATACAGAAGCCCTATTTTGAGAAAGTATCACATGCAAAAACCAGTTCCATTTAAGGACTAAAGCTGCTACCTCAAATTAATTACAAGAAAAAAAAAAAAAAAAACACAAAAACATACCTTCAGATATAGCCTAGTTTTGAATTTGTTAACAAAAGTCTAAAAGTCTAACATATAAAATGTATATGCCGATTTTTTTATCCCAGAAAAGATCACAAAGTTTTACAAAGCTTCACTTGTAAAGTGTAACTATACTTTAAAGCCTGCCAGTTGATAACTTTCTAAATACAAATGCAATAGAGCCAAGAACATCAAATCAGACACAAGATCTAATCCGTTTTCTTACAGGCTGAAAATCTAATCTATAGCAAGATCATAATAGTTCCTTATAAGATTATATTTTCAATCACATAATAAGACAAAAAGAAGTGTTGCTACATCCTTCCTTTAGCACTGTATTCTAGAAAAAAACCACCCAAAACAAACAAACAAAACCACAAAACCCAACCAAACAAAAAAACCCACAACCAAAAAAACCAACCAGACTAGCAGGATTTAAAACAAACCCACAAAGAAATAGCTTTTAAGTCAGAAGTAAGCTTATAACTTCACAGGTAGTTTTTAAAGTCATTAAACTACTTAAATACATATCTTAAATATCAACATCTACATTTCAAAAATTCTACTTTGCCAGTACAGCTCATTATTTGCAGCACTCCAATATACTTTAATACTTGCAAAAGGCATGAACTTTTCAAGAAGAAAAAAAGTACATAGTCATATGTAAGCTGAGTCTATGTGTTTCTTCTACTTCTCCAGTGGTTTAGCTCTCTTCTCACACCAGTTTTCTACTTGTGATCAATCATTCAATTATCAAGTCCAATGAAAAACTTTAGCAGTAAAATGGTATAACATAAGCACCAGCAAAAATCTATCCAGGCATGCCTTACATTTTTCCTCTTCCTCTTCCCACTATACTTATATAGAATAGGCAAGATGCCCCAGCGTTCCCTAATTGTGGTATGCTTGCTCCAGTAAGATACAAGTCACATTATAAAAAGCCAGAGAAAGCTCATGCACTCACCCTCCGAAAACTGCTTCTAGAATCTCTTGGCTTTGTTGTGAAAGATTACCAAAATAACCAGTACAATCCACGACACAACAAACAATCATTAAAAACCATAAAAGATCTTTGTGCCATCCTTATCCAGTCTTTCCTCCCTGCAGCAAGCTTTCACTACCAACCCAATCAAGAACTTGCACAGCATGCCAAAACTGAATTAGGTCTATGCTGCAAGCTGCCTTTATTGTTCCTAATGTTCCAAGCAGCTTTAGAAAACACTAACAGAGAACTGGCAGAGACAAGATTCCCTTAGTTTCAATTGTATATAAGACATATACCTAGTTTTGTGTTTATTTCAGTCATATTCCTGCTCCGTTGACTTCAGCTTGATGCTAAATGCCTGAGATATGAATAGCACGGTAAGAGAAGGTGCATTTGCCAACCATAGGTAGAGACTTCAGAGCATGCTAGGTAATAAACAATGATGTTTTCAAAGAATGTAATATAAAAATCAGACATAATAATTCAAGGAAATGCTGTTGAAACTACAAGAAAATATTGCATCTACCAATTCAGGTCTCTGTCCACAGTTCCCTTGTCACATACGGGTTCCTGAGTGTCCAAGGACTGGGACCAGTTTATCACCATGTGGGTATAACCAAGACTGTGTATTCTACACCCTCTATGTAATTTCTGATGGACTGTTAATAGTGGATCGTTTTCAGCAGCTGCCCAGGGCTCAACTGACACCTCAGGTTACAAGCTAGGTGTTAAAAAAACACTGCAAAACCGAATGTTCTTTTGTCTTCACACCAATGACTCAGCTGTGATAACTCCCCTCCGGGGAGGTATTAACACTTTCACACCAAGCCTGAGGGGTCATCACTGCTAATGGGCCACAAAGAACTGGTATAATAGGCAGCTGCAATGATCTAGACCATCAAAGATTTCAAAAATATCCCATGACTCACAGAGTTAAATCACCCATTGTGAAACTCTCTAGAAGTACTGGGCACTACCACCTGAACCTGAGTATATATAATCTTGGGGTTTTGAGACTTCAGGTACAACTCATCAAGTCCAGAAGAGGACCAGAACTTCGAAAGGACTGTGACTGCCTCTCTTGACAAGACAGCGACCATCGTCTGGATCAACAGGTTTCCTTTTGCTTTGCACCCAGTGGAGCCACGTGGTGCTCAGCACAGGGACTAACAGACACAATTCTGTTCTTGTCCCAGGGGTTATAAATCTGTCCTTGTGGGTTAAAACAAGGGGTTTTTCCTCCATATCATTGTATTTATTGTAATCTTTTAGGAAATTGTAACTTTGACTTGTAGTCTCTCTTGAGTTTTGGTTCATTTCTCCTGCTGGTTTACTTTTAAACCCGCACACTGGGTTGAGAAAGTTACCTTGCCAACAAATTCCATTTGTTTTCTTCTGGGTTGTTTCTGCTTGCAATCATTTTGTACACAGACTATTGAAAGCAAAATTAAAATTCAACAGACAGCTTATCCCCTTGATTACTTTGGGGAAAGAGATAGATTGAACTTCTTCACTTTCAGATGTTTGCATGTAGACAAAGTTTGCTCTTGATAATGTCAAACACTAGTTAGCCTCTACCCAGAAAATATACAGAGATGACTTAGAGATCGTTGCTGGGGTTTAGGCTAGGACAGACTAAACACAAAAATGAATTACTACTCAATAATTGAATTCAGGTGGAGGACACTGGATGTTTCTTGCTTGTGTGACAGGAATGACTATTAATGCATAGAACACCACAAAAAAAGCTGTCTTTTCCAGTTTCCTCCAAAACCAGTTTGTAATAATCCAAATAGACAAATGCTTTTATTCTTACCTCAGCCTTTCTTCTTCTTTCTTACGAAGGCTGAAATCTCGCTGAACCACCTGGAGTACATGCTCTGCTTCTTCATCAGTCAAGCCAGAAAGATCCAGTTTTCTCCCCATTATATACTGTGTCCTGGATATGAATGTCTATAAGGAATATCTGAAATCAGAAACAGAAAATAAAATAAAATAAATTGAAAGCATTGATATTTTTCACAAGAGTGTTGAGATCACAGGCACATCTTCCTAACAAAAAGAAAGCTGCTGCCACAAACATCAGAAAACAACTGAATCTTTCTGGTTGGAAAAGACGTTCTATGATCATCAAATCCAACCGTTAACGCAGCACTGCCAAATCCACCACCAAACCATATCTCTAAGCGCCACATCTGCACATCTTTGAAATACTCCAGGGATGGCAACTCAACCACTTCTTTAGGCAACCTGTTCCAATGCCTGACAAGCCTTTCAGTGAAGAAATTGCTCCTAATATCCAATCTAAACCTCCCCAGTACAACTTGAAGGATTCATTTCAGAATTATTTTTCAGGTTCCATCCACTGAAAGCAATCAGCCCCAACTTAAACATAAATGCAAAAGATAAACTATTTGGGATATTAAGAAATGTTGAGGGAAGATCTCAGTGTTGCTTGCAAAAAGACACATTTTTAACTAACTCAGGTGAAATCAGGTTTAGACATTTCTGAGGATTTTATGCCATGATTTTGCAAAATTGCTTGCAGTGTGACTGTGACTGTGTATAGACAGAGAACATACTCTCCTGTAACACTCAAAAATATTTTATGCTATCAGCTACAAAATCAGGAATTAAAGAACCATTAAAAAGAAGCAAGCATATGAATTTCAAATGCATTTTCTGAGTAGCTGGAAAGATTTAGATGCCACTATCACCACTGTATCATTATTTCCCATATTTGGGGGAGAAAAAGTGTAGTCAGTATTGTGTCTGAACTGAAGGTACTAGAAAGTTTAAATTAGAGCTTGGTCCATTTAATGTCACTGATGAAATTCGTTCTAATCTATTTTTTCATGACTTTTATTAATTTAAGTGAGTTCTAGTAAATTCAGCTCTCAGAATATTTTTGTAATTTGATTTATGTAATTATTTGGGCAATCATAAAGGTGTCCACCTCTACACTGTGTTATGGTTTCAGAAACTTCAGACAGTTTTTGCATCTCTGTTATGAGCTCCTAGCAATGTATATAATTATTATGAACATACTAAAATTCCTACACTATACAGAAGAGGCAAATATTATTGCCTCTTTATCCCTTATGAGTGTCAAGTGAATGAGGCTATGTAAAGCATATAAGCTGGTTCTGGCTCAAAAAAATCACCTCTAAGCAACACTGTTATAGCATACAATTAAGTGCTCCAAATACTATAGCAATCAGAAGCATTGGGGTAAAAAAATCAGCTTTATTTTCTAAACATAACAACCCATTTGCCACTCAGACAATGATGTGGGATGTGGTTGGTTGGGTTTTATTTGGGGTTTTTTGTTAGTTTGGTGTGGGGGTTTAAAACACAACCACATGAAGGGAGAGTACTGCTTATTTTTTCTATTTCGGTTAGGCTATCCACAAAATTTAGAATAAACTCTTCATTCAAGAAAACATTTCCACAAAACCAAACAGATGGGAGAGAAGCTTAGGTGAAACCAAGATGACAAGACCCCTCCAACAAGACTCATGCTCACAATACAGCTGAAAAAGAGGTCACGGTATTCTGGCTTGACTCTGGATCTACTAAGGAAGCCGAGAGTGAGTTAATAAAGGCTATAAAAATGTACTTCTAAACAAAATTTCCCTGATCTGTGTAGAAAAAAAAGTGCCACAGAAACAAAGCACTATATGTAGTCTTCACTGATCTTGCTTGCAAGACCAAGAACATACAGTAAAATTAAAGGTTGGCTAAAACGCAGCAAGGAACAACTGGCAAGATTTTTTTCCATGCCACACAAACACATAAATCTTCATGAAATTTTCACCAGAACGTTAAGATATTCCCCTTTCATCCACAGTCCTTGTACCAAAGCCTCACTGAGCACTGTCAAGCATAAAAACAGGTGAGGCAGGGCTTGCTGAGGTTACGCTTACGTGTTGCAGCTCAAAGACAGAACACGAAGTGCCCTGGCACACATCCTTCCCTTCAGGCTTTGGGACAGCTGCTGAGCTCTTCCCATGCAAAGCACTTGAGTACAAAGGCACCTCTGACTTTCTAAAAGGATGGAATAGCTTCACTACAGGAAAGCCACATTCGTAGGGAAGTAGGCAGGACTTTTCCAAGTAAATCCTTTCTTGCACACATGCACTTTAGGGGAAAACACAGAACGCATGCTAGAAGGAAATAAAACTTTTTTAAGCGATCGCTGGAGCCAGTAGAGACACCTTCGTGGTAGGACTACAGTTTTTGAGACACAGAACAATGAAGACACTGGGAGATCAAAGATGCAATTCCTGTTACCTTAAGCATCAAGTTAACAACTGTAATTAACATTGCCATAATAAGTTCTTCCTTCAGGTCTTCATCAAAATGTTTTTGGAAATGGTGTAAAAATCAATACTGTTTTTTTCACACATACAAACTGGTTCATCAGTAAAGAAAACTATCCCCTTGATACAGCTGCCATTGTTGATTGTGAGCATGTATTAGAAGAGGGAAATTTACATCTAAATTTGGAAGTAAGTGGGCAGCCCCACCACCTCTGATTTTTTGGGGTTGGCAAAGTATAATTTCAAGTATAGATACGCTTTAAAATCACAAGCAACTTTAACTTTTGATTTCATGTGGTCTATTTCCCTATATGACTCTCAGTCTGCATTCCAATATTACATTAATCTGCTAGAAACTAGTGCGTTTTTTCCCAGGTAATAATTTTTCATCACATTACTAAATCACCTCTGATCTGGGAGTATCACAGCAGTTTATAAATATTTATAAACAACTCTCAAGTGTCCTTTTTTGAGTAGATCCGGATTATGTATTTTGGAAATACACAATGGGAAATTCTCTAGAGGAAATGTTACACTTGGAAAAAAAAAAAAAAAAAGACAACAAAATAGCTTCTCAGCCTAAAATAACTTCTGGCCTCAATTAAAATAACTTACATGAGGCTGTTCAAATGTTTGCCTTCATGAGTAACTCTTTGTTAAATCTCAAACTGAATACAAAATCTAAGCTCTCACAGCATTTACAAGAACAGTATCATTCCCTAGAAAATGTTTTCTCACCAAATTAAAACACTGTAACAGAAAAGCCTAGTTTTACAAGACATGATTGGGTATTGTTTGAGTAACACTCTTGTCTTAATACTTCTTACAGTCTATTTTAAAATCTAATTAAAACTTCCGCATTGAAAACATTTCCTGAATTTAACCTTAAAACCAAAATCAACCCCCCAACAAAACCAAAAACAAGCAAATGAAAAGTTTTTCAACAACTTCGAGAAATGCTTCTGAATTTTAAAGTGGACAAGGGATCAACAGGAGAAATGAGGGTGAGTCGTGTATTTCCTCATCACTCATATGACAGCTAAGCTGTCTGGACTTGGAGTCTCAGCAGATGACTAGCATTACTGGGAGGGAGGGTAGAAAGCCCATAAACATTTGTGGGGTTTTTTTAATTTTTAAGTGTCAAGTAGTATTTAAAACAGATTCTCTGCTTGACAAAGAGCCACCTTATAAAGTTAATTATGCAAGTGGTCACACTGAGTACTGTACAAGACAGACTTCATGCTGTAGCAAAGAAATCAGCACAAGCGAGGCTGCACCTGGAGCGTTGTGTCCAGTTTGGGATTCCCCATTACAAGAAAGATTCTGACTCCAGTAAGTCCAGCTTAAGGCTACAATGATGGTTAAGGGACTGAAGCATCTTTCACAAGTGGTGATGCTGGGAGTACTAGGACCGCTCAGCCCAGAGAAGGCTCCAGGGGGCTAAACAGTATGTATCTGGAAGAGAGCCCCCCAATACACTGGAGCTGCAAACAAGAATATCCTACACTTCTTTCCATTTCTGAGCACATTTCACATTTTCAATCAAGATTTCACCTGTTTCCATAACATAGTATAATTTTTCTTTAAAATGTTGCTTATGTGCATTGATGAAATGTGATACCTGAGGAACCAAGACCACAAACTCCTTCAACATAGCTATTTGTTTTTGAAATATTTAACAGAGAATACCTTTCTCCCACAAGCTCTCAGCTTTGTAGTCACTAAACTTTTCATCACAGCTTTTCTACTCTGTTCTGCTACTCTCTAGGAAGAAAATTAAGAAGAAACATGCTAGCAATTATATCTTTGATTCTGTCACTTACAATCTCATCTTTACTTCCTTCAGTAGTCTGTCAGGACTCAATCTGTCTTGCCATTATTTGTAGAATTTTTTTAGTACCATACGAAATTCTTTGTATAGTCTTGCTGGTGAATGTTTTCCCCTTTGGAATCATAAAATAAGATGATCACCTTTCTAAGCCAAAAAAGGAAGACAAGCACTTTGTCCAACACACAGGCTCCTTTATCACACCTCATATTTTAAAACGTTTACTGAAAGTCCAAAAGAAGTGCCAGCACAAGGTCATTTTGGTAATTTTTTAAATGTAAACATCACAATATTTAGCATATAAATTACATAATGTTGCACACTTTATTTGATGACAAAAATAAGACCTGAATGCTTAAAGTGCTTTGATTTATGTAAACACACTTGAACAAAACAGGCTTAGCTAAAAAACATCTGAAGAACATTACTGTCCAAAGTAATTTCTACTACAGCTAGCAGAACATCATTAAATCTAAAATGAGGCATAACTAAAACTGACCACAAGTTTCTTAATCTTTTTTAAACTCCAAGAATGTCTAGAAGCTGCAGTAAACAAGACTTTTCACTGAAAAATACTTTTCACTGGAAGTGAACAAATGTCCCAAAATAACGATATACTCATCAGAAATACAAAGTCACCTCTTCAGTTGAAAAATTAGGTACAGCCCAACAGATTTCAACATGGGGACTTGTATCTGGTGTGTCACGTTTTAAATGAGATGTTAGAAAACAATTTCAAAGAGGATGTTATTCTTTGTAGCCACACTGATTTTAATTGAGTTTTACTGTATATATTTCCTGGTCTATAACCAAAGC